GTACATCAGCTGTGGACCCCTCCTTGCCCAGGTGAAGTGAAGGTCAGAGTTGGGGAGAGGGCAGGGGCTGGTGCCAGGTTCTGGCTGCTATACCTCAGCCTTCCTGCCACCAGGCCACCTGAGGAGCTGACCTTGAGCCCCAAGTTGCAGCTGGACGGCAGTCTGACCATGAGCAGCAGTAGCAGCCTGCAGGCAAGCCCACGCAGCCTCTTGCCCAGCCTGCTCCCAGGTCCAGCTGACAAACTGACTCCCAAAGCACCTGGGCAGGTGTGTGTGTGGGTGTGTATGAAGTGCAGGGTGGCAGGTATGTGGTAGCAGGAAGCTTGGGGGCCCTTTCCTCCCACAGTGCCTGAGGGCTTTCCCTGAGGTCATCCCAGCCTCCCCTGGTCCCTGGAGGGCAGCTTCTCAGCCTGTGTCCATCCCCACCTCCTCTCCTCCTGGGCCGTGGGATATTTGACGTGCATCTCCCTTCTCCACCGTCCCATCCCTGCAGACAGCAGGCCTCATCTGTGCTCCCGCTTCCCCACGTCCCACTGTCTAAGTCCCATCTTTGCTCCACCTCAGGTGCCTGCTGCTGCTTCTGCACTGTCGCTGGAGCTGCAGGAAGTGGAACCCCTGGGGCTACCCCAGGCTTCTCCCAGCCGCACCCGCTCCCCTGATGTTATTTCCTCAGCTTCCACTGCCCTGTCCCAGGACATCCCTGAGATTGCATCCGAGGCCCTGTCCCGTGGTTTTGTCTCCTCTGCTCCTGAGGGTCTTGAACCAGACAGTATGGCCTCAGCTGCCTCAGCGCTCCACCTGCTGTCCCCACGGCCCCGGCCAGGGCCCGAGCTTGGCTCCCAGCTTGGCCTGGATGGAGGCCCTGGGGATGGGGATCGGCACAGTACCCCTTCCCTTTTGGAGGCAGCATTGACTCAGGAGACCACAGCCCCTGACAATCAGGTCTGGCCTACGGCACCAGACATAACTCGTGAGACCTGCAGCAGCCTGGCAGAGAGGTGAGGAACCTGGGAGGGGAGTGGGCGCTGGTGGGAGGGGTTTCAGATAGCATCATCTGCTGTTGAGTTGGCCTGTTCCTTCAGTCCCAGGAACGGCCTCCAGGAGAAGCACAAGAGCCTGGCCTTCCACCGACCACCTTATCACCTGCTGCAGCAACATGACAGCCAGGACGCCAGTGCTGAGCAAAGGTAGGTGCCACCCTACGCTGTTCCTCTCATGAGGGAGGGCTGGTAAGTGGGTCGGTGCTGATTTTTCTCTCTCCCCTTTCTCCAGTGACCATGATGATGAGGTTGCTAGCCTTGCCTCTGCTGCAGGGGGCTTTGGCACCAAAGTTCCCACTCCACGGCTACCGGCCAAGGACTGGAAGACCAAGGGTTCTCCTCGAGCCTCACCTAAGCTTAAGAGAAAGGGCAAGAAAGATGACGGGTACGGGGTGGGGTCCTGTGGCCAGGGAGAGGGGTGGTTCTCCGGCTGCCCTGCCTGACGCAGCCTGAGGTGCTTCTTGTCCATGGCAGGGACTCAGCTGTGGGATCCCGGCTCATGGAGCACCAGGTCAGTGAACTAACAGCCTTTCTATTTCTGGGACGACTCCTGCGAGGATGGGGAAGAGCTCTGGGCCGTTCCTTGGTCTGGTGTGTGGGAATGTGTGGGGCAGGCATCATCTGATTCGGTGCTCTTGGCAGGTGGCAGACCCTCCTGAGGACTGGCCAGCACTAATTTGGCAACAGCAGAGAGAGTTGGCGGAGCTGCGACATAGCCAAGAAGAGTTGCTGCAGCGTCTTTGCACCCAGCTGGAAGGCCTGCAGAGCGCTGTCACGGGCCACGTAGAACGCGCCCTGGAGTCGCGGCATGAGCAGGAGCGTATCCTTACGGGTCATGGCTCGGTGTGGCGTAGGGGTGGGGACAGCAGCAGCATTCTTGGCCCAGGAATGGATGTGGGACCTGCCCCAGGCCTGTTCCTTAGCTGCAGTGCAGAGCGGCGGCTGGAGCGGGCGCTGGCCGAGGGGCAGCAGCGGGGTGGGCAGCTGCAGGAGCAGCTGACACAGCAGCTGTCCCAGGCGCTGTCTTCGGCCGTAGCTGGGCGGCTGGAGCGCAGCATACGGGATGAGATCAAGAAGACGGTGCCCCCGTGTGAGTTCGGCATGGAGACTTCTGGGTGGGCCAGGTGGGAGTGGGGCTTCCTGTCTGTCAGGCTGCCTTTCGTGGCTCCACCTATTCCTCTTCATCCTGCCCTAGGTGTCTCCAGGAGTCTGGAGCCAGTGGCAGGCCAGCTGAGCAACTCAGTGGCCACCAAGCTCACTGCCGTGGAGGGTAGCATGAAAGAGAATATCTCCAAGCTGCTGAAGTCCAAGGTGCTGTAGGGCCCAAGATGAGGGAGGCTGGTGGTTGGTGGGCCTGGTCATGTCAGCTTGGGCATAGCGTTTCAACTCCGCTCTCCCTCTACCCCCAGAACTTGACAGATGCCATTGCCCGAGCAGCTGCAGACACATTACAGGGGCCAATGCAGGCTGCCTACCGTGAAGCCTTTCAGAGTGTGGTGCTGCCGGCGTTTGAGAAGAGCTGCCAGGCCATGTTCCAGCAGATCAATGATAGCTTCCGACTGGGCACGCAAGAGTGTGAGTGGATTCATATGCCTCAAGGTGGGAGGGGCTGTTCCTCTCTCCCCAGCCAGCCCTCTCATGCTCCTGTGGTCACCTCTCAGACTTGCAGCAGCTGGAGAGCCACATGAAGAGCCGGAAGGCACGAGAACAGGAGGCACGGGAGCCTGTGTTGGCCCAGCTGCGGGGCCTGGTCAGCACACTGCAGGGTGCCACCGAGCAGATGGCAGCCACCGTGTCTAGCAGCGTTCGGGCTGAGGTGCAGCACCAGCTGCACGTGGCTGTGGGCAGGTGTGTGGGCGGGGTATTGGGCGAGGTGCTGGGTTTGGAAAGCGCCAGACCAGACTTCCTGTCTGTCTCATCTCCCTCACTTCCCTTTGCAGCCTACAGGAGTCCATTTTAGCACAGGTACAGCGCATTGTTAAGGGTGAGGTGAGTGTAGCACTCAAGGAGCAACAGGCTGCTGTCACGTCTAGCATCATGCAGGCCATGCGTTCAGCTGCTGGCACACCCGTCCCCGCCGCCCACCTTGATTGCCAGGCCCAGCAAGCCCATATCCTGCAGCTGCTGCAGCAGGGCCACCTCAATCAGGCCTTCCAGCAGGTATGCCGCCCAGTGGGTTGAGGTAAGGGTCAGGTGTCTTCTGACAGGGCACACACACCATACTCTACCCGCCAGGCTCTGGGTGCTCCAGCCCCAGTACACTGTTCTTGGTTGCCTTTGGCTTCAGACCGTTTCCCCTACTTTCCCCTCTGCCTGGACCTTTTCTTTCTACCTAACGCCTGCCTTGCTTCATGACCACCCTTCTCAGGAAACCTTTCCTGATCCCCCAGAGTAACAACACAGCTCTCTATGACTGTCTCTGGGCCCCTGAGCACACACCCCGCCCCCCACCCGGGGCCCTCAGTACCCTACTCTGGTCATCCACGGCCAGCCAAGCAGGTATTCCCTTATGACCTTGGCTGTAAACACTGTTCTCTTCCTAGGCCCTGACAGCTGCTGACCTGAACCTGGTGCTGTATGTGTGTGAAACTGTGGACCCAGGGCAGGTTTTTGGGCAGCCACCCTGCCCACTCTCCCAGCCTGTGCTCCTTTCCCTCATCCAGCAGCTGGCCTCTGACCTTGGTACTCGAACTGATCTCAAGCTCAGGTGAGTGGACTCAGGGATCAGGAGACGGGTTGGGGTGGAGGTGGAGAAGCAGTTCAAACAGAGACTCTTGCCTGATTCTGCTTCCTAATTTTTCTCCCCCAGTCCCTTCTGTGCCCACCCATCTCTGGCTTTGAGGCCCCCCCTTTGTCAGCAGTCCCTCTGGGCCTCGGTGCCACCAGGGGGCGCTCGCATCTGCTGGAGCCCACCTGTTTCTTGTCTTTCTTCCACCACAGCTACCTGGAAGAGGCTGTGATGCACCTGGACCACAGTGACCCCATTACTCGGGACCACATGGGCTCCGTCATGGCCCAGGTGCGCCAGAAGCTCTTCCAGTTCCTTCAGGCTGAGCCACACAACTCACTTGGTAAAGTGGCCCGGCGTCTCAGCCTCATGCTGCACGGTCTTGTAACCCCTAGCCTCCCTTAGCTAAGCCTGCCTTGCTCAGAGTTGGGGAGGCACTGAAGGCCAGCAGACAGGCCTAGGCCAAAGCAGGGTCATGTCTACCCTTTTACCTGCTCAGGCTCCCACCTTGGGGGTGCTTGAGGGGAGAGCACTGGCTGTGGTCTACAGGTTGTGGTAGCCAGCGGGTTTAGGCTGGGCCCAGGGTGGGTACTGTGCCTTCTTGGGTTCTGCCGTGCCTGGAGCATGACCCTCGAGATCGTGACACCACTTGAGTTGCATTTTCCATGTTCCTTTTTACCTCTGATTTGGATCTTTTTGTTTTTGAAAAATATTGAGAAATTCAATTAAATGCTTTTGGAATAAAATGGAGTATGTGTGTGCTTTTGGTGTAACTTTGATAGGGGCCTCTGTTCTCTCCCCTCTCTCTTCCCTGTGTTGGAGCCTGTCTAGACTAAGCCCGGTGCCCGGACACCCACTCTCATCTACATAGCTGCTCTCCCAGATCCCCTCTCCATTTCTGAGACAAGGGCCCTGAGGTCAGCTCTGCAATTGCCTTGTCGCCAGCTCTTCTCTCTGGGGTCCCTCCCCTCCTTTGCGGATCTGAGTACTAGGGCGGGGTTGCCCAGCTGGCTTTGGGCCCCGCCCCCAGCTCCCATCCAATCACAGTCCCTTCTTTCGGGGGCTGGGCCGAAGGGCTCTGCTTCCAAGCTGCTAGCTCCAGCACTAGGCTCCCAGCCGGGAATGATGCGGGGATGATGCACGGCTACTGCTCCTGTCACCACCGCCAGCGACTGCCCCGAGCTTCCGGTGTGCTGGGGCTGTTGCGGCTGTTGCTACCGCTCGGTGAGTGCGGGAGTGCTGGATCGGGCTTAGCGCTGTGTGGCACACCCTCTCCCCAGTCTAGGTATAGGGCCTGTGAGAGCTGAGGCCCAGCCTTCCTGGGCCCTGGGAACCAGGCTGGAGTGGAGGTGCGACGGCTTCAGGGAGGGGTAATACGTGCCAGTGGCTTCAGGATGCAAAATGGGCATGACCTGACATCTAGTCATGGGGAAAGGACCCCAAAGTTCCACATCACCCATTCCAGTAAAGGGAGACCTAGGCTCTCGTGCGACCCCTAGTCCAGCCGTGGGGCCCCTGAGGCCCTCTCTTAGGGTCTGATCTGGATCCCGACCCTGCCTCTCCTGCTGTCCCTGGCAGAGAACACCTGTCTTTGGGTATGAGGGTGGGATGGTCAAGTGAAGTTTGTCCAGCCTGCAGGACAGTTAAGGGAGCCTGTAGCCCTCATCTCCATGTTCTGACTCTTTCACTTGGACCATCCTTACTTCACCTGTGACCCTAGAAGCTCAGAGGAAGAGTCAACCCCTTGGGACAGGACACCTTACCCCCTCTCCACATACCCTGTATGGATTGTGCCTGGGGGGGAGCCAATGCAGGTGGATCCCCAGATGTGCCCGTTGGTTCCCTTGGGTGCTTCTGTTTGACGCTGAGTCATGTCCCCCAAGCACACGCAGGTAAAGAACCCCTTGGGGGCTTGGCGGTGAAGGGGGGCGGGGCTGCTCATCCTGTCAACCACTCTCCACCCCCACCCCTAGTCCTTGTATCTCCCCTGGCAGCAGCTGCAACGGGCCCAGGGGGCTGTGACACCATATACCAGGGGTTTGCTGAGTGTCTCATCCGCTTGGGGGACGGCATGGGCCTTGGAGGCGAGCTGGACACTGTCTGCAGGTAAGAGCAGGTGTGAAGATGCCTGCCTAACTGTGGGAACCCCCCGCCACCCTGGGGCCTGAACCTTTATCCTTCCCATTACAAAAGCCTCTTTGCTCCACCTAATTACCCTAACCCCAAGCCTTTAACAGGTCTTGGAATGACTTCCACGTCTGTGCCTCCCAAGTCCTGTTGCGCTGCCCAGAGGAGGCTGCTGCTGTGTGGGAGTCACTACAGCAAGAAGCTCGCCAGGCCCCGCACCCAGATAACTTGCATGTTCTCTGCGGCACCCCTGTGCGTATCAGGGAGCATGGCATAGGCCCCGAGACCAACCAGGAGACGCTGCAGGCAAGAGCATCTGCACCCACCCCAGCCCCAACGCCCCCACTGCTGGCGGCTGCTCTGGCGCTTGCCTGCCTTCTGGGGCCTCTGGCCTAGCCAGTCTGGTGGAGTAGCAGCACCCCTGCCTCCTACCCTGCTCTGGTAGCTGCTCTCGGGGCTCTACACAGTGCCCTTGGCTTTCATTAAAGGTATTTATATTTGTACTAAGCTCCTTTCTTTCTTCTGGCCATTGCCAGCCCTGCTTTGTTGGGGCGGAGCCTCCAGAAGCTCATCTCCGGGGATGGATGGGCAGGGCCCATGGCCACCACAGGGGACTCAATCTTTCTACTTAAAGATAATTATTTCCCAGGGCTGGCTGTGCAGAGTTTTCCATTGTGTGCAGGTTCTAGGAGCTATGGTGGTGACCCGAAATCTTCTGGAATGCATAGCCTTCCTCTCTTCTCTTGGGCTGGCATTTCTCCCCAAGTCTGCCCCTCCTATTCTGGCCCCCATGGGCATGTGAAGGGGTGAGTTGTACCAGCCCACCCCATCCCCACGTTTGTTCCAGCCTCCATGTTCCTGCCATCTCTGCTAACTATGTCTTAGCCTTCAAGACAGATTAAGTGCTCTGTCCTCTCCCTCTCTGGTGTCCTGGTCTACCTGAGGGGAAGCTGTTCCAGGAGATGGGGAGTCCCTGTTTGGTCTATATTCAAGTCCTTAAGGTGACCTGGAGCTGCAGAAACTGGGGTTATGATGAGGGTTCCTCTGGCCTCTCATGTACCCAAGCTTCTCCTTTGAGAAGAGGTATGCAGTGTGACGTCAATAATCCCAGAAGACTTTCTGGAAGCATGGAACAAGTGTGTGATGTGTGAGGAAACCCTGTTCATCCTGGTGGAGAGAGGCAAGAATCCACACGGGCAGAATCCTAAGGGAAGGAGGAGTCCTCAGAGAGGGTGAAAAGCTCTCTCAATCAATCCTCTACCACCACCTCTAGGACCTTACTCCAACCCACCACCCCATGACTTGTGTGGGCAGTGCCATGGCCTCACTGACTTCTGCTCTCATCCCCTCTGCTTTATTCTTTTTTTTTTTTTTTTAATTTAGAACCAACTTCCAAGTTAAAGCTCCTTTGCATTGTCTATGCAGCCCTACCTAAGCCAGCTCTGCCCACAGTTGATTCAGTCCACTCCTGCGACTCTCTGGAATGCATCTTCCTACTCAGTCCTTGGCATCAGGGGAGGCTTCAGGGAGGGCATGTTATAGGGAGTGATAAGGGAGGTGAGGATGTGGGACTTAACAGGTGGTGGAGGAGAGATGGGCTGAGTTGGAGAGGACTTTACAAGAGGAGCCCAAAGGAATCAGGGTAGGAACCTAGAGCTTGGTAGACTAGGTTTACACTAAAGCCCATGCTGGGGGACTGCTGCCTCCAGGACTGAATAAGCCTAATTGAACCCTTCCTTGTTTGGCTCCAGGGTGACAGGAGCCTCCAGAGACCTCCATCCTTGTGTATAGCAGCCCTACTTCATCCGTTCTTCCCAAACATCATCCGATTCCAGTTAGCTCAGATACCTCCGTCAACTCTGTCTGCCCGTTTGCTCCTCTGCTTCATTCACTTTTATCTCCACTTTTATCTCCCAACCAGTCATTACCCATCTTCTCACATGACCTAAAGGAGAAAATTCCTCCCACATCTGCCCCACTCTGACCACCAGAATTTTCCAGAAGGAAAGGCCAGGCTTTTATCCCTTTGGGTCTTTTTTTTTTTTTTTTTAAGATTTTATTTATTTGTTCGGCAGAGAGAGAGAGTGGGTGCAAAAGTGGGGAACAGCAGAGGGGAGAAGGAGAAGCAGGCTCTGCTGAACAGGCAGCATGATGTGGGACTCAATCCCAGGACTCCAGTATCAGACCTGAGCAGAAGGCATGTGCTTAAGCAACTGAGCCACCCAGGCGCACCCCCCCCCCACCACACCCTTTGGGGTCTTTGTACATTCATTCTCTGTACTCAGAATACCTTTCCCCATACCCTCCTGGTGAACTCCTTTTCTTGCTCAGTATCACTTCCTTCCTAATCCTGACTCCACACCTGAATCAGAAGCCGCCTACAGGTCCACACAGCTCCCCAGTGGTCTTCTGTCTCAGTACTAATAACACTGGCTTGCTACTATCTCGGTCCAGGTCAAAATTCTCCACTCTGGACTCCCCAGGGGTTCTCTCTATGTCTCTAGCACCCCACTTAGGGCTGGGTATAAAGAGTACACTTGTAGAAGTATGTGGAATCAAAGACAGAATCTCTCAGCCCAGCACAGAAAGGGTTATAGTCAGTCAGAGCTTGGACTGAGAATGACCTCAGCACTGAGAATGCGTCATTTGGGGCAGCCCCCTAACCTAGCTTGGGCATACTTTGGGAAGGATGATGCTGAGAATCCAGACCCGGAAAGTCTTCTCACAGCCCCTCTTGGTGGGTGGCCAGGAGCAGCCTGCTTCTAGGAGCTGGGTCCCAACCCCTTTGGCCAGCCATCCAGGGGATTACCATCCTCCTGCTGTGACCTACTTTACCCTGGTTTTTGCTCCCTAAGTCCCTGCTCTTCCCTGGAATGAGTGACCTGGAGTGTGTGCATGGGGGTGGGGACGGAATCTGCTTTCTGGCCAGGGGCTTAAGAGCTTTGTATGTTTATCCCAGAGCTGGAGGAGAGGGGTGAGCTGATGGCCAGACGGGGCCCTGGAAACATCTGCACAGGCCAGAGCATAACGGTGATGGGTCTCACCGTTATGTGTGTCTCACATTTACAGCTCTACGGACATGGAATAGCTTATTGTTCAGGGGAGAGACTGGGGCTGAATGTCCTGAACCCAGTCCTTCTGCATCAACATGCCTCTTATCTCAGGACCCTGTGTTCTTTGCCAGAGTCCAGACAAGCATCTATCAGTAGCAAGGGCCCAATAAATACTTGTTGGATTAATTTGCTGAATGTCTGTAAAATTGAGGTGTTGTGTGTGAATTTTTAAAATGATTTTATTTATTTATTAGAGAGAGAGCATGAGCAGGGGGAGGGGGAGAAGGAGAAGCAGACTCCCCGCTGAGCAGGGAGCCCAATGTGGGGCTCCATGCTGGGACTCCAGGATCATGAACTGAGCTGAAGGCAGACGCTCAAGCTCAACCAACTGAGCCACCCAGGCGCCCTATTGTGTGTGAATTTCTAAGCCCCACCAACCCTAGAATTCCATATTACTTTTAACCTTCACAACAACTCTGTGGGGTCAGGATTATGATCCCCATAAAACAGAAGAAAAATGAGGCTTAAGGAGGAGAGATGTCTTGCCTAACTAAGGTAACACAGCTGTGAAAGTGTCAGAGCTTGGGCTATGATCCCAGGTTTGTTTGACCCCAAAGTAATGCCCTTAATCAATAGACTTTTGAGAGAGTGGAGTTGGGGGGAGCAATGATTTTTAAAGGTGTTTTGTAATTTTTAATTTTCTTAAATTCAGTTAACCAACACACAGTTCCTCATTAGTTTCAGATGTAGTGTTCAACAATTCATCAGTTACATATAACACCCAGTACTCATCATATCACGTGCCCTCCTTAATGCCCATCACCAGGTTACTCCATTCCGTCCTCATGCCTCCCATCTCCCAAAGGTGTTTTTTTAAATAAAACTTTTTATGAAGCTCTGCTATATAAAACATCGTGATGTTTTATTGGTTAATTTATTTTTAGATTTAAAGTATAGCATTATACAGTAAATTAAAGATAATTTCATGTATAAAGTAAATAATAAATATATTTTAAAAGATTTATTTATATATTTATTTATTTGATAGAGATCACAAGTAGGCAGAAAGGCAGAGAGAGAGGGAGAAGCAGACCCCCTGCTGAGCAGAGAGCCCGATGTGGGGCTCTATCCCAGGACTCTGGGATCATGACCCGAGCTGAAGGCAGAGGCTTTAACCCACTGAGCCACCAGGTGCCCCAATAATAAATATTTTAACAAATGAACAAACAGAAATGAAGTAGATGGAAAGAGGTTACAACGCCTTTATTACCTCCGGCATCTACTCCGCCCCCCCGCCCCCGCAATCTGGGATTATTGTAAAGTAGTGAGATAATTCTGATCTTCTAGAGAAATCTTAATGGTAACATTTTTATTTATTTTTTTAAAGATTTTATTTATTTATTTGACAGAGAGAGATCACAAGCAGGGAGAGAGGCAGGAAGAGAGAGAGGAGGAAGCAGGCTCCCTGCTGAGCAGAGAGCCCGATGCGGGGCTCCATCCCAGGACCCCGAGATCATGACCCGAGCCGAAGGCAGCGGCTTAACCCACTGAGCCACCCAGGTGCCCCAATGGTAACCTTTTAAAAAATCTACTTGATTTGCAGTCTCAGAATACACTTACATTTAATAACAACAACAAAAATTAAAACAAAAAACCGTTACTCCGAAGTTAGCCCAGGACTAACGTCACCTTCACTGATCCTCTAGTTAGCCATTTGCAACTCCTCTGTGATGGAGGCCAAATTTAACACGTCCGAGAGCCTCAATTATTTTAACTGCAGTTAAAAAAAACCGATTTGCTAATGAAATTTAAATCCATCCTTTGCGGAGTTCCAGAGGCACTTCCAAAAACTTCTGTTGAAACGCTCTAGGTGCCCAACTTTGCACTACAGAGCGTCCTTCTGCTCTAACTAGAAATTTGACACTTTCTCGCTACCTCCGGGGTAGGGAGGTCCTACCCAGCGCCCAAGGTGCAACTGCTTTGACCGTTACTTAAACTCACCGGGAGGAGAGAGTAAGTCCCCGCCCGAAGACGTTGATTGGCAGGCCGCGCTCGGAGCGGCGATTAAATTCTTAGCCAGTCTCTGCCCAGGTCCGTCCCCTCCCCGCCCCAAGGGTGGCCTGGGTTTGTTTTGGCGTAAAACGCGCGCACTGATGACGTCAGGACGCTGACGCCTGAGGATGGCGGCGGCGGCGGTAACGGTGGCGGCGACCCTATCCGAGGTCTGGAGAGGGTCAGCACAGCCGCCGAGACGCCGAAGACCCCGCCGTCCGCGCGAGGTGAGGCGGCCGGGCCCAGGACGACAGCCGGGCCCAGGACGACAGCCCGGCCCAGGACGACGGCCCGACGGGCGGGAGGGGCTGACGACCTGCGGCCACGGTCGCTTCCTGGAGCCCTGGGCCTATTCCTGGCCCGTCTGGAGCCCCCGGCCGGAGTCCGGTGTGCCGGGGCCTATGAGACTGGGGAGCAGGCCAGGCGATGGCTGATCGGGATCCCTGGTATTCGAGGCTGGACGGGCCTCGAAACATTCTGCTGTGCTGGGTAGCCCGTCTCTGGGGCCGCGTGGGCCTCGTGGACGTGGTGGTCTTACTTGCCTGCTGTTCAGCTAGCTTGCGTTGGTCAGGGTGAACTAAGCAGGTTGTCCTCACTGCCTTCTCGTGTCCGGCACCTACTTCACACCCCTCCTTTGCGACTGAATGCTAGCAGTTGTCGGGGCAGCTGGTTGCTTTCCTTTTCAGGCTGGGAAAAAGGCTTGAGCCTAGCCGGGTTGCCTGCTCCGCAAGCCATCGGCCTTCAGCTTGTTAGGGGAAGCCAGTACCCCACGATCTCTCCCTCTCCATGAAGCTGCTGAAGTTAAAATTCCCACCTGAAAATTTGAATTAAGTCCTTCACTACCTGAAACTGGATCCCTGGTGCCTACAGGATGAAGTCCAAGCTTCATAGCAAGGCATTGGGGGCTTCTCATAATTTGGTAGAGGCCTAACCTGGAAGTCAACACCAGGGCACTTCTGCCTTCTGTTTACAGTTTGTTGTTAGGGCATGTGAGCCCGCTGTGCTCAGTGTTTTGATACCCTTGTACTTTAGATATGCATTTTGTAATAGTCTTCTTTACCCCCACCCCAGTCACCAGAATGGAAAATTTACGTGTGTCCTTTAAAATCCACCTTAGATTTCATTTTCTTTTCCAAGGGAAAACCCTCCCTTGCTTCACATGTAACCATGGCTCCTCTGTACTTTTATTCATGTGACTCCTGTTGAGTATGTCATGTTGTGTCATGCGATGGTGGGTCTGGGTCTCCTGTTTGCATCTGAGTGTCTGGCTTTGTGCCCGGCGTAGGAGCTGAATGGACTGGGATAGTTTGCTGGTTTAAGACTAGGAACAGATTCACTGTATTATTGAGCCCCTATCAGGGGCCAGGATCTGACATGAGGACAGCAAGTGTGTATCTCTTGTTGGGACATGCATACATATTCATGTGGTAGGTGGGGCAGCCTTGTCAACTTTGATGGTCTAAAATCTCTTGCGGTCGTTTTTCAAGATACAGATTCAGGAATCTCACTCTCTGATATTTGGGTTCAGAAGATCTGGAATCGGCTAGGAATCTGTATTTTGAAAAAAACACCTCAGTTGACTTTTACTCTGCTTCCTGGTTGAACATCTTGGTCATTGCACTAGACATCTGTTGTGTCTTTTTTTTTTTTTTTTTTAATATTTTATTTATTTATTTGACAGAGATCACAAGTAGGCAGAGAGACAGGCAGAGAGAGAGGAGGAAGCAGGCTCCCCGCTGAGCAGAGAGCCCGATGCGGGGCTCGATCCCAGGACCCTGAGATCATGACCCGAGCCGAAGGCAGAGGCTTAACCCACTGAGCCACCCAGGCGCCCCTGTTGTGTCTTCTATGTCCAGTGGGAAGGGCTGGCTGTGCCATGTAGTCTCATTGCCCATACTTGGGAAGGCAGTATGATTTGCTGGTTAGTAGTATGGGCTTTGGAGTCAGAAAGACTTGGATTCAGTTCTTGTTTGTGAGATTTTGAGGTCCTTTGAGTCCTATTTTGCTCATTCCAGAATAGCAGTAACCAGGCCTACTGTGTGTGGTTGCACAGAGGAGTGACAGTACATACAAGATGCTTAATGCAGTTGGAACTCAGGAAATGGAAGCCACTGTTATTACTAATGACTGTTTTTCCCAGAGTGTGTCCCTTGTGAAAAGGAGATCTGAGGAAGCCTGTTTGCTCTCCAGACTGAACCTCATGTAGAAAGCTGCCTTGTATGACTTCCTCAAGGTGATTTCTGCATATCAAGGAAAGCTCTGACAAAACTGTGCTTCTCCTCAGGGTAGTTGCACTTGGTCATTCCCCTAGAAGATGTTTGGAATGCTGACTCACTAGAGGGTGGGTTTGCCACATAAGCACTTTGTCCCCGTTTAATTGAAATTCCTGTGCTGGTTAAGTTGTATAAATGAGCTAGAGAAAGTGCAGCTCTCAGGAAACCTCTTGGCCTCTGACACTGAGCTAGAGTTGGATCTAGAACCTGGAATGGAGTACCCCTGCTGATCCTACTTTCCAAGGAATCTGTAATAGATACTGGGGATCTCTGTCAGTCACAATTTGTAGTTAAATGAGTGAGACTTTGGTTTGGCCTTCTGTCTTACGTTATAGGTGTTAGTGTGTTATGTGGGCAGCTTTATCCTCTTGAGAGCTTCCCGACTGTGTGATATGAATGGGCACTGGTGTGCCAAAGTACTGAAGCCTTAAGCTTCCAGATAGCCCAGAACAGCTGTCCCTTTCAACCCCAGGGTGCACAAAGAAAAATTTGAGAAGTCCAGCCCTGGAGAAACGGAAGCAATTCTGCTTATCAAGAACTAGAGAGAGACTTATTTATTTGAACTCCTTTTCCTTCCAAGAATCTTACTCAATGACTATTAAGTGGATTTGTGTTGGCTAGGTCATCCCTGAGCTAATTCTTGGGACAGCCTTCTGTTGCCATGGTGTCCGATATGATGCTAAAGTAGAAAAATGTGTTTTCATTTTGGCAGGGCGGGGGAGGGTGGAATTATCTCAGACTGCCAGTCTTGAAGTGGCCTCATGGGGCATCATAAGAGAGACTCTTGGTGTGGAACCATTTGTGCATAAGTTCCTTGAGAGCAGAGATTGCGGCAGGCTTCTTTTTGTCTGTTACAGCTCCTGGCTGAGTTCCTGGCCCACAGCAGGAGCTCAGTAAATATTTGTGGGTTGAACCTTGGGATTTTGGAAGGAGAACCCAGGTACATTGCCAGAGTCTGTATTTCTGATGATGGGATGGCCAGTGGGTGGGATGTCTTAGATGGAGCTGGGGCCACGATGAAATGAGGACAAAGCAAACTTTTGAACTTTTTTGCTTCTCTCAGCCCTAAGGCTGGAGTCTCTGCCCACCAGTTATTACCATGTAAAGCTTGGTACCTAGCTGGAGTCCTTGAGAAGTAGTGTTCTGAGTTACGTTACGATAAAAGGTCATAACAATTTTTATTACAAAGTAATATTTAAAGTTAGGAGGTGCCTGGGTGGCTCAGTCATTAAGCGACTGCCTTCAGCTCAGATTATAACCCCAGGGTCCTGCAGTCCAGCCCGGCATCAGGCTCCCTACTTGGGCTAGAAGCCTGCTTCTCCCTCTCCCACTTTCCCCCCTGCTTATGTTCCCTCTCGCTGTCTCTCTCTCTCTGTCAAATAATAAATAAAATCTTAAAAAAAAAATACTTAGCATTGGGGCACCTGGGTGACTCAGTGGGTTAAAGCCTCTGCCTTCGGCTCAGGTCATGATCCCAGGGTCCTGGGATCAAGCCCCACATCGGGCTCTCAGCTCAGCAGGGAGCCTGATTCCCCCTCTCTCTCTGCCTGCCTCTCTGCCTACTGTGATCTCTCTCTGTCAAATAAATAAATAAAATCTTAAAAAAAAATACTTAGCGTTAAAACACAGGAGTGAATGATGCACAGTGTCTTTAGACACAAACACTAATAATTTGGTATGTATTCTGACCCTTTTAAAAATTCATATAATAGTCTATGTTTCTACAATATATATTTTTGTTAAGTTTAAAAATGTAATATATGGTATGGTGATGATTTAAAAAAATAGCAACAGCACAGGAATATATAAAATGAAAAGTGAAAGTCAGTCTTCAGTCTTCCTTCCTTCCTTTTTCTTTCTTTCCTTCCTTCCTTCCTCCTGTTCCCTTCACATTTACACACCCTAGAGGCAGTCACTGTCAATAGTATGTCTTTTCCCTTTCCAGGGTATTTTTCCACATATATGTCTATCTTTTTTTAAACCCTTCATTGGATGTATGGTTCAGCTACTATTTCAACTACTTATTACATTGTGGATTGGGTCCTGGCACGAAGCCATTCAATAAAATTGACTGGTATCTTTCTTTGTCAGTATATATGGGTTTACTTCATTTATTTCAATAGCTTCAGAGTGTTCCATTATATGAATGGATCTTAATTTATGTAATTATTCCCTTACTAATGGATATTTGGGTAATTTCCATTTTTTCATTATTATAAAGAACATTGCCATGAACTTGCTTGTACAAATATATCTTTGCATACTCATGGAAATGGTTTTATAGAATTATTTCTGAAAATGGAATTGCTAGATGCAGGGTCTGTTTCTCTGCTTCAGAAAGCAGACTCACATAGCTCCCTCTAAGGTCGCTGAGGTCCTTGTTTGGGAGTTTTCATGTAAAGTGACAAGCTCTTTTGCGTGGTGTCTCTGCTTGCCTCATGCTGGTTAGAAGTGCTGTTTAGCAGTACTTATTTCTGGGATTACTGGGAGATTACTGCCTACTTCATTTTGATAGGTAGTCTTTCAAAACAGGGGAGCATGATACAGAGATCTTTGCAGGTGAAAGGTTGCAAAGCTCCTCTGTGGAGAATAATCTTAGGGTTCACTGCTGGAGAGGGCAGGGTGCTTATGGGCCCCTGCCTGGGACACAGCCACACACTCGACTTCTGTGGCCAGGAAATTATTTCAGGATCCATCCTAGGCCTCTGTCCTCTTTCTCCCATGGGGTCAAGTTGGCAACTTGTGGACTAATTTGCCTTGGAGTTCGGTTAACAATCTGTAAGGCAAACAGACCTGAGAGCTCTAGCTTCCTTTGTTACCAAGAACGTTTACACAGGCACCACGGGAGTGCAGCTCTGGTTTAATCACCCAAATGGCCTCTTCCTGCCACTTGAAAATTTCTGAGGTTCTGGGACTGTTGACTTGCAGCTAATAGAAAGCCAAGAGCTAGACCACCTTTCATTTGTTGTAATGAACATGAACGCCTGCTCTGAGCCCAGCACTTTGCTGGGTGCCAGGGAGCTCTAGAAACCTGAGAAGTGGCCTCTTTCTTCAAGGGGCTGATAACTCTAGTGTTCTGAGGCAGTCTGGAGTACAGCAGTGAGCAGCATGACCCAGACTGTACTTGGAATGGAGGTTTCATAATACAGCCCTTCAGAAAAGGTCCTCAATAAAGGCTTGTTGATTCATCAGCTGAGTGTTAGGAAGGGTAGAGACCTTGACCAGGTGAGGCAGAGCTCTGCTGAGCCTCTGGCACTTCCAGAGTCTCTTTTGTGATGGAAGGAACTCTGACTGGAGATCTGGGAGGTTGGGGTCCATGCTTGGCCATCACTGTCTAAAGTGGCCGTGGTCAAGTTTCTACTTTTCTTGGCCTGTCATTTGGTAGTGTGAACAGTAGTACTGAATGCTCGTGCCCACCGCCACACTCTAACATGCTTGCACTCCCCGAGGAGTGCTTGGGATCAGGCTGGGAGTTGAGGGAGTGGAGACTGACTCTAGAGAGTTCTGCAGTTCTTTCTGCAAGATGTGTTAAGATTGGTGTTGTGGAAGGGAATAGTGCCTTGTGATAGCTGGCATAGTATGACCTCTTGAGTCTTTTCTCACACCCTAGTCACTGTGCTAGGGACATACAGAGAGGAGCAGGGGCAGGAAAATACTCTGCCCTCATTCCCAGAAGTTTTGTCATATTCCTTCCCTGTCCCCGTGTCTGCCTTTTCACCTGACCTGTGAGTGGCGGGAATTTAACTGATGTGATTGGCGTGTGGAGCAGCTGTGGGGCTGGAGCAGCCTGGAGGCTGTCGGCTGTTACCCCTTCCCAGAGCTAGCAGCTTCTCTTCTGCACTCCTCCTCCGCAGTTGGGAAGGTAGAGTACCAGCATCAGCTTGTCTTGGAAGAGTTTCTAATTGGAACAAATGTGGGAGAAACTATGTCCCAGGAAGGAAGTAGGAAGGTCAGAGAGGATAATCCTTGGCTCTCTCACTGCTGACTCGAGATCCCTGTGCAGGCTTTGTTTGTTTAAAGTGAGAAGTCAGGCCTTTTCTTTTGTAAACCTTAGTGTTTCTCATCAGGGCCGGACTAGATGTTCACATTTAAACAAAAAGACCCAGTGCATATGCCTGGAAACAGTTATTTATTTTACGGATCTAGGGTGTGGTCTCCTCACCAGGAAGAAGACCTCTGTGTGGCTGTGTGGGGTCACCTGGCAGTTTGTCTTCTCTCTGGATGGTGGTAGACGTTGCTTGGGGATCAGGAGCCTGTGTTCTGCCTTGGGAACCCTAGCCCAGGAACTGTCCTTTTCCTGAGCTGCAGCCCTGTACAGCCTTGAGAGTCTTGTGTTTTCCCCAAAAGAAGAGATGAGTCTGCAGAATTCTAGTTCCTAGTTCTGATCTTTAGCCTCTGTGGAAAGGAACCTTGTTTCCAAATGCCTTTGTTTAAACCTGATTTCCCAAGCTACTATGTGGGATCTGCTGGGCATTTGGGTGTGAACTGCAGCAAATAGGGAAGAGCCTTATGCTGGTGGAGCAATCCTTCCCCCCTCACTCGAGGGAAGATAGCTCATTCTGCCGAGAGTCATGTTGACATACTGATTAAAATCTGAGCCCTTAATCTGTGGTCTCCCGACTCTTCCTTTTTATCTAACTGAGGTCTTGGGTATGTTTCAGTGATGAGCTTGTTCCTTGAAAGAGTTAGCCACATTGGTCAGTATCACCACGTTAGAATCTGGCCCTTGACTCTCTGGAATCTGGTGGCCTCTGTGGGTTCTCTGTGACCTCCAAGCTGCCATAGCAAAACCTGCCTGGGTCTTCTGCTGCTGCCTTTGATCAGATCATTTGCTGAGGTTGGGGGTTTCAGGTGTTACCCTGTTGGCCCCAGGCATCACCCTTGGTCAGCCATGGAATCTCTGTCATTGACTCTTTTTATTTTTTAAAATTTTTTTTTTAAGATTTTATTTATTTGACAGAGAGAGATCACAAGTGGGCAGAGAGGCAAGCAGAGAGAGAGAGAGGAGGAAGCAGGCTCCCCGAGGAGCAGAGAGCCCGATGTGGGACTCGATCCCAGGACCCTAAGATCATGACCTGAGATGAAGGCAGAGGCTTAACCCACTGAGCCACCCAGGTGCCCCAGGAGTGTCTTTTGTTTTAATGAGGTGACTCTGAGTGGGCTCCCTGGTGACTCCTAGATGGGAGCTGATCACCAGAAAGACTCAAGCCCTGATTAGAAGCTTGGAATTTTCAGCCCTGCCTTCTCTTCTCCTGAGAAGGGAGTAGGGCCAAAAATGGAGTTAATGATCGATTGTGACCATATGATGAAGTCTCCATAAAATCCCAACAATAGGGTGTTTGGGGAGCTTCTGGGTCAGTGAATACATGGGAGTGCTGGGAGAGTGGGGCACGCAGAGAAAGCAAGGGAGCTCGGTGCCCCTTCCCACATGCCTGGCCTTCCCTGGGCATCTCTTCCATCTGGATTTTCACATATCTCTTTTTATAAACTGGTGAGTGTAAGTGTTTCCCTGAGCTCTGGGAGTTAAGAAACTCAAGGAGGGGATTGTTGGGACCCCAATCTGTGGCTGGTTGGTCAGAAGCACAGGTGATAACCCAGGCTTGTGACCACTGAAGTGTGCTTGAGGGAGGGAGCAGTCTTAGGGGACTGAGCCCTTAATCTGTGGTGTCTGATGATATTTTTGGGTAGACAGTGTCAGAACCGAGTTACATGTAGGACATCTGCCTGCCATTACAGAATGCTTGGTATGGGGACTCACCATACATGTGACTAGAGGTATCAGAGGTGAAATGTTCTAGGGGCACCTGGCTGGCTCCAGTCGGTGGAGTGTGTGACTCTTGATCTTGGGGTTGTGAGTTTGAGCCCTGTGTTGGGTATAGAGATTACTTTAAAAAAAAACAAAATCTTAAAAAAAAAAGAAGAAGAAGAAGAAGAAGTGTTCTCTGTGAAGGTAAAGGAGAGACATAGAGTGAAGAAATACACAGTATGGAAGAACTTTATTTCCTTACACAGGAAGGAAAAAAGCTGGGTTTTTTTCTCTTTACAGTATTTAGTAAATGTTTGATCTGAATTGATAATTTTACCCCTAATTCTATATGTCATAATCAGTAGGAAATTCTCAGCTCTCTCCTTTCACCCATGGGCCTCTCAGAAAGATTTAGAGAAGGATGGCCAGGGTAGAAATGACTTCTGGAAAGAAGGACCTCGGCACTTCACCATATGAAGGCCCCACCAGCCACAGAGTTTTCATGGTTGGAACTTCTCTGGGAAGCAAATGGAGGAGCTCTTGGATCATCATCCCAAGGAAGCAGAGGATCCTAATCCACAGGCTGAGTCACATCGAGATAAAACTGTTAGCGTCCTTTCTGAGCTCAGGGTCCCCTTTGTCTCTTGAATGAAGCCCTGACTAGTTGGGTGGCTACCTGGTGGCAGTGTGCCAAGGTTTGTGGTCCTAAGTTCACTGGGGTTGATTTCCGCCTGCTCAGGAATTGTGTGGCATTTTGGCACACAATTTTGGCATCTGTGTGGTGAACCGGGAAGTAGAAGACCCTGGAACAGGGTGTTAAACTGACAGATGAAGATGGTGCATCAGCAAAGTAATGGGAACTGTCTAGGAAAGAGTAGAGTTAAGGCAGAGAACCATGGCAGGGATGGTAGTATTGGCAGTAGTTGTAGGAGGCAATCAACCCCTGCAGGAGCCCTAGAAGGCTGGGAAAGATCCATGAGGGGCATCTTGGAGAAACGGCTTTCTGAGCCCTGGTGGGTGATAGTGTTGGAGATCAGGCCTCCAACATTTTACACCCCCGTTTCAGAAAAGATGAGTCAGAATAATAAGAGGAATGATTTTAACATTTAAAAAAACATTGAAATTCAACTAGGATAAGGGACCCAGCCTGGAGGCAGAGTAGGGAGGAAGGTGGGGGCAGTGACAGCTGAGCCTGGTGCATGTTCCTGCCCCTCGCTTGGGGTTGGAAGGCAGCACAGGAATCAGATCCAGGGAGATGTAAGTCAAGACGGTGGAACTCAGGGACGCCTGAGTGGCTCAGTTGGTTAAGCTCTGCCCACCTTTGTCTCAGGTCATGATCCTAGAGTCCTGGGATCAAGTCCCCCATCAGGCTCCTTGCTCAGTGGAGTGCCTGCTTCTCCCTCTGCCAGTAGCTCCCCCTGCTTGTACCCTTGCTCTCTCGTTCCAAATGAATGAATAAAATCTTAAAAAACAAAACAAAACAAAAAAACCACCATGGAGCTCAGATCCAGCCTTTCATCTGGACCCTTCAGCAAGCCTCAGGGGCCAACACCATCCTCCATTCTAGGGAATCCTATTAGGGTCAAGTCTTCACCTGCATTTATTGAGGGGCAAGGGAGAGGGGATGAGGAGGATGGCTGGTATCCTTTCTGAGGTATCCCTGGCTATGCTGACTTGCCCTTTCTTCCATGTGCATAGGTGTAGACGGGGCACTGCCTGCAGAGCAGGTCCTGCCAACCTCACTGGAGAGGATGCCCCCGTGTCCGTGATGGGCTGTGGGACAAGCAAGGTCCTTCCTGAGCCACCAAAGGATGTCCAGCTGGACCTCGTCAAGAAGGTGGAGCCCTTCAGTGGTACTAAGAAGGATGTGCACAAGCATTTCATCACAGAGGTGGACAGCATTGGTGCTCTCAAAGCTGGCTTCCCAGCAGCCAGTCAGTGTGCAAACCCCTGCCCTGGGGCCCCCATTAGCAGCCACACAGAGCCTCCCTCAGAACCACCACGCAGGGCCAGGGTGGCTAAGTACAGGGCTAAGTTTGACCCACGTGTGACAGCCAAGTATGACATCAAAGCCCTCATTGGCCGAGGCAGCTTCAGCCGAGTGGTCCGTGTGGAGCACCGGGCAACCCGGCAGCCCTACGCCATCAAGATGATCGAGACCAAGTACCGGGAAGGGCGGGAGGTATGTGAGTCAGAATTGCGCGTGCTGCGCCGGGTGCGTCATGCCAACATCATCCAGCTGGTGGAGGTGTTCGAGACACAGGAGCGTGTGTACATGGTGATGGAGCTGGCCACTGGCGGGGAGCTCTTCGACCGCATCATCGCCAAGGGCTCTTTCACTGAGCGCGATGCCACGCGGGTGCTGCAGATGGTGCTGGACGGTGTCCGGTACCTGCACGCACTGGGCATCACACACCGAGACCTCAAGCCGGAGAATCTGCTCTACTACCACCCAGGCACTGACTCCAAGATCATTATCACTGACTTTGGCCTGGCCAGTGCCCGCAAGAAGGGCGACGACTGCCTGATGAAGACCACGTGCGGCACACCCGAGTACATTGCTCCTGAGGTCCTGGTCCGCAAGCCCTACACCAATTCCGTGGACATGTGGGCACTGGGGGTCATTGCCTACATCCTGCTCAGTGGCACCATGCCCTTTGAGGATGACAACCGCACCAGGCTGTACCGGCAGATCCTCAGGGGCAAGTACAGCTACTCGGGGGAGGTGAGTCTGCCCTGCTGCAGGGATGGGGGGGGGGCCCGGTAGTGCTTGACAGGGGGATGTTCTTTGAGAGCCATGTTCGTGGGGTCAGGCGGGTCATGTAAAAAATGATAACGTGAGACTAGTAGGGTCTCTTGGTTTGGGTGTCCCCAAAAGTGAGCCCTGTGACCTGGGAGCAGATAGTGTAATTGGGATAGGAGTCCAGTAAGCACAGGCAAAGGGTAGGAAAGTGAGGCAGGAAGGGAGGAAGCCAATCAAGGGCCTCTGGAGGAGTGGACTGCCACTGTGGGCCGCTGGAACTCCCACTGGAGACCCTGTGAATAATCACGTGGCACATGCCTCAGAAGTGTACCACTGAGGGACAAGAAGGTGGGTGGGTTTTATTTTTATTTTTATTTTTTTTTAAGATTTTATTTATTTATTTGACAGAGATTACAAATAGGCAGAGAGGCAGGCAGAGAGAGGAGGGGAAGCAGGCTCCCCGCTGAGCAGAGAGCCTGACGCGGGGCTCGATCCCAGGACGCTGGGATCATGACCTGAGCTGAAAGCAGAGGCTTTAACCCACTGAGCCACCCAGGCGCCCCGAAGGTGGGTGGGTTTTAATCCACTGACTCCTGTAAGAGTTGCGAATTTCTTTGGGGCACTAAATCCCTGGCCCTTCTGGGCTGTCCTGAATGCCAGCCAGTGCTGAAGAAAGTCTTCAGACAAGGAAGCAGGGAGATGCGGGCACTGGCACCTGGGGAGCTGTCTGCGTGCGCAGGGGCCCCCACAACTGCAGGTGGGCTCAGAGGTGGGATAGAGCACTGCAGTAGCTGCTCCGCCGGGCCTGGGACAAGCTAGAGTGACCGTGCCCCGTTGAGAGGTGCCATTGCTGCTCATCTCTGCCCAGTTTTGCCACACAGCCCAGAGGATCCTCTGCACCCAGACATTCCCGTTCTTTTAAAGAAAAGCCAGAAAGTTTGATCTTAAAATGTTGGAATTCCATTTACATATTTAAGTAGTACCTTGTGTGCCCACGAATAGTTCCCCGCAGGCCACATTCAACCAGCAGGCCATCAGTTTGTGTTTTGGATTCGCGGATTGTCCTGATACCTGAGAAAATCGGTCAGGTTTCAGCACTGCTGGGAGCTGAAAGAAGGCACGCAAGAAGGAAGAGCTGGTTGGTCCTTAGGCAGGACGCTCACTGGGGGTGATGAGGCTGACCGTAGGCAACAGCAAGTGCTGTGAGCATAGTGGTGGACTCGGGAGGCTGCTGAGTCACAGAATGTGTGGCGGCTTAAATGGGAGGTGAAGTAAGCTTTTCAGGCTAGTAGGTTTCTGCCAAGGCAGCGAGGGCCCCTGCCCAAGTGCCCCCTGCAGAGTGCTCCCCACAGTGTCCCCCTCAGGCTTGGCGGCCCAAGCCTGAACATCCCACACGGTGGGGAGGAACAAGCTCCCTTCCGAAACTCTGCTTTCCTTCCAAGGATTTTGGACTGGGTCCTCTCTGGCTCCAGCCGACTGGCCCAGAGCAGCTTTCCTGCAGGAATCACCCCAAAGCCTCTTGCCACTTTGTCTTTGGTGCTTGAGGTCCTGTGCTCCGTCAAACTCCTTACTAGCTTCCAGACTTTGTCATGGGGTCAATCAAGGTCTTCCTGTGAGGATGGGGGCTGGCATTCCTTGTGGGGGCGATCTCTAGGTCACATGTCAGAGTAATGTGAGGGAGGGAGGGAAGTCTTCATCATTAGGCCAGCTCTGTGCTGTCCACAGGGGAAGGAGAAACTGAGACTTTCTCTAGCTCTCCCCTAAAGTTTCTCATGTATTCTTTGCTCCAAATGGATTCAATAGAGAAGCAGAGGGAGAAGCAGGCTTCCTGCTGAGCAAGGAGCCCGATGCGGGACTCAATCCCGGGACCCTGGGATCATGACCTGAGCTGAAGGCAGAAGGTTAACCAACTGAGCCACCCATGTTTCCCTGGGCTGGTCCCCTTTCTTAGGGCTATGCCCTCTCCCCACCCTCAATCCATCTTTGGTCATTTGTCCTTCTGAAGGCCATCCAAGTGACCAGGGCCCTTCCAGAAAACCTATATGAGAGCATGTCATGTTAAAGGGAGGCGTTTTGATCTGACTTCTGCAAATCAAGGACCACCCACTTGGAGCTCAGCAAGGTTTGGAAGTGTGTATTCCTCACCTGACAGGAAGTCCCATGGCAGTTAGTGCCTTTCTAGGGGCGCTTTTTTCCTGCCGCTGACACTCCCAGAGTGGTGTCTCTTGTATACTAGGCCCCATCCAATGGACTTGTTTCCTGAGGCCTGTGTCTGTGCGGTTCCCTGTCAGGCTCAGTGGTTTCTGTGGACTTGAATAGAGGGCTTTCTACAGGAGGTGGGCCTTGAGAAGGAGGAGGCTCAGAGAAAGGGATGCTGCTGACTGTGCTTAGAATGAACAGGAGACTGGAAGTGATGGAGCCCAGGTTGCTGCGGCTGGGCCAGGCCTGGTGTTTGTTGTTGGTGTTCGTTGTTTGCTCTGTAGTGCCAGAGGCTCCTTGGGGATTGGAAACCTCAGGTGGGTTCGAGCCCTGTGGGTTCTTTTTTTTTTTTTTTTTTTTTTTTTAAAGATTTTATTTATTTAGTTGACAGAGAGAGATCACAAGCAGGCAGAGAGGCAGGCAGAGAGAGAGGAGGAAGCAGGCTCCCTGCTGAGCAGAGAGCCCGATGCGGGGCTCGATCCCAGGATCCTGAGATCATGACCTGAGCTGAAGGCAGAGGCTTAACCCACTGAGCCACCCAGGTGCCCCCCCTGTGGGTTCTTGATAGTGAAGCAGGAATGCAGCAGAACGTGTTGTGGAAGACTCACAGGAAGAAGACTGATGGGGGTCTGTTGGAGTGGTATGAGTTGGGGACGGAGGAACCGGGCGTCCTGGGGCTGTTTGAGGCGGACCGGAGATTCCCGAGAGTGGGCTCCACGTGCTGTTTGGAAGAGGTCTGGGGACCGAATCATCCTGCAGCTCTGCAGAAGCATCCGCTTCCAAGGGCAGAGTGAGAGAGGACTCACTGGAGCGGCCGCCCTCGGGCCCAGACAGCGTGTAGGCTCCTGCCTTCACATCCCGAGGTGGGGCCCAGTGGTGGAGGGAAGTATACCAAGTACCTGGCTCCTGCTCCATAGTCCTGACACTGTAGATGCTCCAGCCCCGAGCCCTGGCCCCGCTCTCTGCCCCGTTTGCTATACACCACAGGCCCGAGATGTTTGCTCTGTTCACTCCCCATACTAAGCTATTGCTCAGGCTTTTCACTTGCTCCCAGCGTCGGCCTTACAAATTTGACCAGCCGTGAAAGGTTCAGTTCAAAGATGGCTTCCACTTAGAATACTGGTGACCACTGTGTAGTACCAGACACAGGGCTAAGGGTTCTGTATCCAGCATGTTTACTCTCTACAACAGTGCTGCCAGGTGGGTGTCATGCCCCCATTTTACAGATGAGGAAACTGAGGCTCGTGAGGTTAAGTAACCTGTCCGTGGTTTCATAGCTAAGAGCCTGGCAGGCCTGGGATTTGAATCTAGGCCATCTTGGTGTCAGAATTCTTGGCCTCTCCATCGCCGCAGTCTATGTTCCCTGACATACATGCCTTAGCCTGTTGCTGGAGTCCTTGCGGCAGCACTTTCTTGGGCTGCTGTCTGTGGACATCTCTCCTCTCAGGCCTGTAAGGTCCTTGAGGACAGCTTGTGTATCAATACATATGTTCCTGATACTTTCTCCTGGCTTCTCCTGAGGGAAGCACCCGAGTTGTTGGTGAGGCCTCAGGAAAGGATGCAAAAGTGAGCGGCTGGCAGGCAGACAGGCGTGGCCCTGCTGGCTGGAAGTGTTCTCTGCTGGGGGCTGGGCTCCAGGAGGAAGTGGAGAGCCTGCTGGAGAGGTGCTTAGTGGTCTGCTCGCCAGACCTGCTTAGGAGCAGCTTTGGAATCTTGAAAGAGGAGGGAGTGCTGGGAAGGAAAAGGCTGTGACAGATGATATTGCAAAGGGAAATCTGCATTTTCCCTGGTGGCCGGAGTGGAGAGGGCCAAGCCAGGGTCGTGTTGGAAGTGGTAGGGAGACCCTTGTTGGCCAGAGGTGAGGAAGGCCTCTGAGTGGGAGAGCAGTCTAAAGACATAAAGAGCCACACTGAGAGAGGGAGCTTCTTGTCATGAGAGATTCCAGGAGGGCTGGAGCAGTTATTTCTGAAGGAGTGACACCGAAGGTGAGTCATTTCTGTAAGACCCATACCCGGAGGCCTGTTACGGTCTCACTGACTTGGAGAGTCTGAAATTAACTGCCCACGAAATGTGACGTTGCCGGCCTAATGCCATTGCTTTTGTTAAGAGTTCTATTCCCAGAAGCAGGACAGACGAAGAGGCTCTTGTGGGATTGATGGCAGAGTGGAGCCATCAGCAGCTTTGCGGCCGGGGGGGTTAGCAGCCTTTAATTGTCGCCGTCTGCTGGGGCTGTCTCTGAGCTGTGGGCAAGCCCGGGCCACTGCACCGGGAACGGATGGGCTTGGGCACAGGTTCTCATGGTGCCTTGTTCAGGAGAGCGAGTGCTGCCAGGCAAGGGACAGAATCTTGGTGGAAGAGGAAGGCCACCTGCAGGGACAATCTGCCACCGCCTGAGGGATTGTATTGGTGAGAGGTGGCTTCCCACCAGGGTTGGGGCTCTGGGCTGCAGCCTGACCAGCCGTCCACAGGATGCCACGGGGCGAGAGCTCAGGGGCAGGGAATTGGACCATCTTGTAGTTCTGATAGCCCTGCCACAGGGTGAGCGCTCAGAGCCAGAGATCACATTTACTTCCTCGCTTAAAGTGATCCTAACACTTGTCATTCTGCCTTGGGATGTTGAAGATAAAGGAAGGTGCAGAGGATGTTCTGTGTTCTGTTGCTCTTTAGGTGAAGGGGGTCAGCACCTGTGAGGGGGTGGTCAGGCAGCCCGGTTCATCTGCCCTGGTTGGGAGCGGCCAGCTGAGTAGGGAGAGGACCTTGACTCAGAGCCATGGGGAGGACTT